TAATAATCATTAATTGTTTAATGTCTTCTGATATTAGTTTTCAATAGCATATCGTTTTCAAGAACAAAGTCCATTTCTAGAGTGAAAGGAATTTTACATTGCAAAAATTATTTAAATTACTTATTTTTCGATCATTTTTGTAAACTTTATTTATAAAGTTCAATAACTACTCATAACAATTAAAAAAATTGGATGTAAAAAAAATTGAACATGCAGGCTTGTGACTTTTAAAGTTTTCGTGTTCGAATCTCTGCTTGTAAACTTTTTTTTTTCATGAAGTTTTTTGCATTTTATTTCTAAATTTGTTTAATATTGTAATAATAATCACGCAAATATGTATTGTCATTACAATTTTATTATTTTTGCTATTAAATTAAAGTTTTAATTCTAAATTTGTTTAATATTGTAATATCAATCACGCAAATTTAGAAATAAAATGCAAAAAATTCATGAAAAAAAAAGTTTACAAGCAGAGACTCGAACACGAAAACTTAAAAAGTCACAACTCTTACCTTTAAATACATAAGTTCCCATACAAACTTTAGGGCTCTGTCAGAATTGGCTGCCCATTGGTCTGTAGAACTTGAGCATGGTATGAGGTTTCATCACTACGAAGTCTCATTCGGAACTTCATTTCCCATACCGTTTCCTCCCCTTATGAGTAAAAATAGACTGTTCCATCAACATGTAGTATGGATTACGCATAGACAGAAAAAATGGTCGGCTGAAAGAAAAAGATAGCGGCTGGTGGCGGCCAAGCCCTATCTTCTTCTAACCAGCAGCCGTAGTACGAGAGTATAGAAAATATAGGCAATGGGAACATTAGAAAAGGAGAACAATTGGTCACCACCTCATTTCGTCTTTGTTTATTTGAGCGTACACTTTTTAAAAGGATCTAAGGTAGGGATCGCGTAGTCCTCACTATATGTCAATAGACTGGGCATACCCATGTATTCTGTGCCTCGCGAACTTTATATGCGGAATATATGTATATCTACATATAGCATTTCAATGGGTAAAATCCATTTGCAGGTGGCTTTTTAATGCGGTTTTGAGGGTTCATGAAAATTCCGGGTTCCTCCTTCTACTTCACTTATATTTTTTATTAATTCTGTGGAACGTATCAACGGCATAAAAATAGACACGACTATATAATATAATAAAATGTATATAGTATAATATAAT